CTGTACTATAGGTATGACAAAGGCCAGGGTTTTACCACTGCCAGTAGGTGCTGAGACGCAGATGTCTTTGGGGCGGTATCCTCCGCGCCCCATCAAATACCCGTTGGCCGCGCTCTGTAGAATAGCAGGAATCACCTCTGCCTGAACTGAACAAAAATGGAAACAAATATTAACTACAGAGTTAACTGGGCTAAAACCACTGTATCCAGAAAAGCAGTTATGTACTATAAATCTGTTTCCACAGCTGTGCTGTTGCTGCTATAAACCTAAGAGAGGAAGAAATCAATACCAGTTGTTAATTGAGATGCTCTGTGGCTTTACCTGATTCTTGTTGACTCATGGGAGCTTAGCACTGAACACAGAGATTTCCCTCTCCAAGAATTCACCTATTTCTAGTGCTCAGCTAGTGTATTACTGTGTTAAATACTGTTTTCAACTCTTATCTGTCTTCTTGTTCTCATGTGAGGATGGCACTGGGCAGATTTAAAACCCATGAATATTTGTCTGTAAGCATCCTGTTCTTGAAGTACAAACCACAACAACGCAGCCTTATCTGCCAAGGAGCAAAAGTTACAACTCCTATAGGCTCTGGAGTTCACCACAGGAGAGTACAGAGGGACTGAAGCAAACAGCCCTGTACAGACAGCAGCTCTGGCTAACACACAGGAACTCTGTCCTTCCCTTGCCCCATGACAGGCCCTGACAAACTGGCCAACTTCAGTTTATCTACAAGGTTTGGCAGCCAGGGGATCTAGTTCCATGACAAGACCATGCTCAGCGACACACACAGTGGACACCATCTCTGTTAGACAGAGCATGACACTGCTTGATTCATCTACTATCAAGTGCCATAACCTGGACTTGATTTACAAGAAAACACAGAAGTTGCTACCAGCAACCTCTTAAGATTTCCCAGAACAAAATAAGCAACACCCTTTACATTAAAATGTTATGTAACAGCAGACTTAAAACGAGAAGCTACGTGCTGGCTTTCCAGTGCAGCCCTGTAAGTCTCTGACACAGGCTAAGCCTCCAGGCTTAGCTAGACCAAGTCACTGGCTGAAGGTCAGAGATCCCACCTTCCTCCCTTCTCTCTCTCTCTCTCTCCTTAGCCCTGCTTTCAGTTGTGCTTTCTGCTTATTTAGGAGCTGGGATTTATTGTCCTTGTCTTCAAAACTAGTAAAATAATGGAAAACTAACAGCTTTTTTGGCTTGAACAGGTTTCCAGAGAGGTCTGATTAGAAGCAGGGATGGTAGAAGGGAAGGAACTAAAGCAGGTGCCTGGTATAAGGGGCCAAAATGGGAGGACACAAGGACACTGCTGTCATTTGGCAGCTCTGAGCCATTACTTCAAGCCACTACATTTTGTAGAGCTGCCCTTATGACCAGGTAACAGACTTCAATCACTCAGCCCAGATAAAGCTTTGAAAGTTTGAAAGAAGGGTTAAAACTGGTATGATCACTTTGATGCATGAAATTTGGTTTTGTTGCATATTTTACTTCACTGACTACAGAATATTTTTACAGCAACAGGAACTACATAAGTCAGTTTAGAAAGACACAAAAGCACTGTCAAGGTACCTGGAAAAAAGGACTCTATCCCATTCATTTGCAGCTTTTTCAACAGCCTGGGATGAATTCCTGGGACATCAGTGACTGGAACCAGATTATCTTTGATACGTTTTTGCACTAGTTTGGGTTGAGCAAGCCACTGCGGTAAGAAGGGCTGAACCTGAGGTGAGGGAAAGGAGGAAAACAAAGAGTTTCTGTCATCAAACATCACCAGACATAAAATAAGCTGGTAAGATGCTGGTTCCTTCCTGACCATCATCAAAATTCAGTCAAGCTAGTTACCTTCTGCACTGGCTTTCTGTCATAGTCTCCAAGAACCATCAGACTGGAGGGTGGAGGATTTGCCTCTTCCTCCAAGGCTGCTAAGGATAGCTCATCCGTTGGGCTTTGATTTCCTTCAGCTCTTTCACTGTTCTCTTTCTTCCTGGTTTCAGCTCCCTCAGCTTCCTCATCCCTCTTCTTCCTTTTAGAAGTCTTATTTTTAAAGTTGCTTCTATTTTCCTGTTGTTTGATGTCTTCTTCAGAATCTGGATTTTGGATAATGGGAATACAAAGCTACAGATCAGAACATGCAAACTCCTCTTTCTTCCTAAATCCAAGTGCAAAAGCCAAACATTTTTTGTTGGTATGGAGGCAACTGAAGACCGAGGTGACATGCTAAGTTTGCAATATAGGTCTTTCCCCTATAAAAGGAATTACTTTGGGAACATGTTAAAAAGAAAACAAAATCTGGGGAGACCTTATAGCAGCCTTTCAATACTTGAGGAAAGCCTAGAAGATGGGGACAAATTTTTAGCAGGGCCTGTAGCGCTAGGACAAGAGGTGATGGTTTTAAATTAAATGAGGGGAGATTTAGACTAAATGTAAGAAATTTTTTACACTGAGGGTGGTGAGACACTGGCCCAGGTTGCCCAGAGAGGTGGTAGAAGCCCCATCCCTGGAAACGTTCAAGAGCAGGTTGGACAAAGCTCTGAGCAACCTGATCTGGTTGAAGATGTCCCTGCTCACTGCAGGGGGGTTGGAACAGATGAACTTTAAAGGTCTCTTCCAACCCAAACCATTCTCTGATTCTATGATAAAATTTAACATCAGGTAAATTCAGAAAGTTACTCAAAGGGCGACTTGTCTCTACACCTCTGTTGAGAACTGTCGACCACAAGGAACCAAAATCCCACGGCCTCAGGTTGTCCTTACCTGCTTCATTCCTCTCTTGCAGCACTTTTGATTTTCTTCTATTTTCTTTATTATTCTTCGAGGGAGTGCTGCCATCTGCTGCCTCCTCAGCACCCGCCCTTTCTTCAGAAGGGCTGCGAGACCGCTGTTTCCTCTTGATCTTCCTCTGTCCCTGCGCATAGGGCTGCTCCTCGCTCCTCCTCTTTCTCCTTCCTTCCCCGGGGCTCAGCTCCTCGCCCGCCGGGCCGGCTCCTGCGGACAGCCGGACATCCCCTCCCCTGGGCTGCGCCTCCTGCTGCTTCTTCAGCTGCCG